CTTCTTCTTCTTCTTCTTCTTCTTCTTCTTCTTCTTCTTCTTCTTCTCCTCCTCCTCCTCCTCCTCCTCCTCCTCCTCCTCCTCCTCCTCCTCCTCCTCCTCCTCCTCCTCCTCCTCCTTCTTCTTCTTCTTCTTCTTCTTCTTCTGCCGTTTGGCTTTAAGGAGGCTAAAATAGTCTCATTGTTTGCATCCCAACTAACCAGATGGGCATTTCCTCAAAGTTCCATTTTACTACAGTTGTCATATTGGCACATCTGGGAAAACCCGAATCTGAGAGTTCCAGGTTTTCCCTCCCCCCCAAATCAAAGATCCACCCCCCTGCATCCATCAGCCCATCACATCATGGCCCAATCAAATCTTCGTCCTAACTGGAGACATCCCTCCAGTCACTCCCCTTCAGGTGCAGGGCAACAAGTCCTTGACTCTCTGAGAAAAGAATGTTGTTGAGTCTAATCTTTCCCCTCTCTCTGAAATCCCCCTTCCCAAATTCCCAGGCACTGAATGTGGCAGCCTGGATGCTTCCCAATAAAATATGTCTTCCAAGGCTGACCAGATTGGTTCCACAGGCTAAACTAGTACCGTCTATATTTTGAGCGAATTTTTACCCTTCTGATCCACCCCATTTTTCTAAAGGTTATGTGCGGGACATCAATACAATGCAGGGAAGGGACTCAACCCAGCAGCAGACAATTGAAATGTCGTAATAGCACACAAATCTTTTTTTAAAAAAAAATCAAACAGGAAACCAAACTCCTCAAAATAATTATTATTCATCACTTGGAGTGGAGGAATTATTCCCCATTCTGGAAGCAACACATAGAAAATCAGGACAGAGAAATTACCAAGGTTCCTATTTCAGTGGTCCAAGAAAAAACAAAATTGAGTTGTTATTTCCCTGGGCAGACCCCTCCCCAAACTTCAAAATCCATCTAGTCCCCACTTTGGCTTGGGTTAAAGAGGTAGTGGGTCTTCCATGTTTGGTTATCTTTTAATGCTTTCTTAAAGGATCTTAGAGGACCCACCTAGCTTTATGGCTAGTTCACAATTTTGCAATCTTTTGCAATTGCGAGAAGAAAGGGAGAAGAAAGAGAGCACGGTTTACTTTGCCGTTTTGTTTCACAGCTGACAAAATATCGAGCGCTAACTGAACCAAAAAATCCAGCGGATATATGATGACTTGAAAAGCAGAGGTACCCTCACTTCAATGCCCAACGATACTTAATTCTTCTGCCATTAAAGTGACTTTCTCCTTGACGGGATTTATTCCCGTGTTTTTACAAGGGCACATCAAACAATTCTCACAAAAGGGAACAGTTACTCTTTCATGGTATCAGTATTGTGCTCGCCTAATGAGTCCCACACATATGCACACAAACACACATGCCAAGCAAAAATAAACTCTACAATGCAGGCACAAAGGCTTGCATTCTCCCAGGGTGTTCATTGTCTACTTTTAAGAATAAGTACATCACAGGTCGAAGTAGTTTAAAAAAAGGAAAAAAAAAGAAAGAAATGTTTTTTCTCATGCCTGAGAAGCTACACTTTGTATCAAAGCCACTCTAATCAAGCTAACAAACAAAAAAGGTTTACTTATCAGATTTTTAAAAAAAATTCAGAACGGCCAAGGAACAGAACAATAAATCAGGAAGTGACTGCTTCGGATCTTATTTCTGTGACACCCCTTGTTTCTTTGATAGAGGTGCCACAGGGGGACAATAATATTGATTAACTTTACTGAATCGCTGCAAAGTCAAATCTAAGTGTAGTAAGCAGTTTGGAACATGATTAAAACATACGCAGAAATGCTAAATTAGCATCATCGTGGCACTAGTCGTAATCAATAAAATTACTCAAGCTGTGCAATGCTTTGGATTCCAGTCTGAAAAAAAATGTTTTCGGAGCGTGTGGGAGTACGAATAGAGCATCTGTTACAACTCATTAAAGCAGTTGCATCTGTTTCTAGGCCTGGTGAAGTTCTGAAAACAGATGCAGCTGCTTTAATGAGTCACAAGCAGGTGCTGCATTCTTGTTTCTCTATACTCTGAAACCGTAATCTGGAACAAAAACCAAAGCAATGCAAATCTCTATCAATTATATGTCTTTTCTATTCTCTCTAATGATTGCATTCACATAACCAACCGAACCTAGTGAATCTACTGTATATTGTTTGGTGAGTCAGTTCCCTAGGTAGAACCAAACCAGGGAATGAACTCCATAGGAAGTTCATAAAACTTCTTAAAAAATTGATATTGGGTGTAATAACAGAATCTTGCAAGTCCAATTTGTGCTCTTTCACCTCCTTATACGCCAGGGAACCAATGAACTGAGCTACTTCTGAATTGTACTTCATTCCTCTGGATTGAAAGAGAAAACATTCCAACCATATTTGTTAACCAAGGCTACCTTCTCTCTTCTGTACGTAGTGTAAAAGGGATGTAGTAAGCTTCTCATGTGACACAAAGAAGCATGTAAAAGTCAGTAAGGTGTCTTTGTTTAGATCTTAGTTTAGGGCTGATGTGAAGTTGGACTCACAATAAATATTAATGTAGTGATCAGTTAAAAAGAAAACGGTCCATCAGATCCAAAGCTTAATCTCCAGCCAGGCCCATTAGATCTCTATCAACAGATTTATGAAAACTGAAACAAGAGTCACCGTGTGAGTGAAAAGGGAGGTCTCTAAATTGGATAGATAAATAAGTAAAAATACTATCTGCATTTGCTGAAAAGTTGTAGATTTGTCTATTTGGCCTCTAAATTCCAGATCCAGTAAAACCCTTTCAGCCAATTTCATCTTTCTAACATTAGGGCTACCAACTCTCACCCCATCGCACAATTTTGCTGAATAACAACCCACATCAATTTTGACCCCTGGTGTTATGAATGATAATACTTCTAGTGTGAACGTTAGGGACACAAACTTGAGGACCGTTGTAACTGAATAGTAGTTAGGACCAGGAGTGGCCTGCTATGGGTTCGCCTGGATTCGAGAGAACCCTTAGCTAACGTTATGATTGGTTTGGAGAACCGCCAAATCCCACCACTGGCTGGCCCACCCCACCCTGCCATTCCCAGGAGTCTCGGATGCGAGGTAAGTGCAGAACCCACGTGGAAGCTCAGGGAGGGTGAAAAATGGACCCGAAAGGCCTCCGGAGTCTGGGGGAGGCCATTTTCGCCCTCACAGAGGCTCATGTCAACTCATAAAACATTTCTCTGATCTTTTAGAGTTGCCAAAAGAAAGAGAGGGGAGAGCAGTGTGACAGCTTGCAAACTGAAACTGCATTCCATAAATGTTTTCAAAGATAGTTTCCAAGTGACTGAAGTTTTTGCTGCGCAAATTTCTAACTGGAAAGTATGA